GGCTGAAACGCATGAAACCGTGAGATGGTGACCTGAGCCGAAATCGGGAGTCGGGAGCCACCTAGGCACCCCTGAAACTTAGTCTTTCTGAAGTTGAAATTAGGGGATGTCCCAATTACTGGGAATGCTTCTGTTCATCCCTGCTGACAGGTGATGGATTATTTGCAACCACAGACACAACGGAGCCTGCGGCCTTGCCATCCACACCCACCCCCCTGGCAGGTAAGTCCTTGGGAAAATGCGGGGGGCGGGGGAGCTAATGTTTGTGGAACAACCAAAATGTAATAAAGCAGAGAATCGGATGCTTTCATATAACTGACAGTTCATTGAGGGCTCACAAGAACCTCCCAGCATTATTGTCCCCACAACCCTCACCATTGGCTCATAAAATGAGACACAGAAAGGATCATTTTCTAGCATTACCCACCTAGAACATGGTGAAGCCAAGATCTGGAGCAATCTGACTCCAAACCCATGTGACTACTAGCCTTTTGGGGGGTGGGGGGGGCGGAGACAGTATGTCCAAAGCTACCTCTGGACTACTGGGAAGAGAACATTCTTGCAAGCCTAATTGTACAGTGCAGGTGCATTAGGACCATAGCCAGGAAACGGGGGTGTCGGCTGTGGTAATCACTTAGTAGGTTTTAGTATAAAATTCCTAACAGGAAAAACTTATAAATTTATAGCTTCCAGGGTGACAGACAGGCAAAATGTATCCTTTTACTATGCCTAGAACTCTGTATTAGGAATGAGCCCCAGCCCGTCTCTTCCTTCTTCACCCTGGGGTACCTGCCTGCACATCTGCTTTACAAAGAGAAAAAACTCGTTGTACCATTTGGGTATCTGAAGGTTGGTTCCACAATAACTCACATGATAACTGAATTTTTCCAGGTCAGGTGTCATCAAATGTTTATTGTTCAAGTTTATTTATTTATTTTGAGAGAGGCGTTGGGGCAGGGGGCGTGTGCAGAGAGAGGAGCAGAAAGAGAATCCCAAGCAGGCTCTGCACTGTTAGCATGGAACCCGATGTAGGGCTCAAACTCACAAATCGTGAGATCATGACCTGCCCTGAAATCAAGTCAGATGCTTAACCAACTGAGCCACTCAGGCTCCCCTCAAGTGTTTATATTTCCAAATAAACTCTATGGTGGGAGTTTATGGCTGTGTGTAGATATTCTGTTGCTTCTTAAAAGCGTATCACACAGCAGTCACACATCACCTCCTCTGTTTCGAGCCCCAGCTTGAGCCGCTTCTTGACATCCCTGGGTCCCTGAGCACTTTTGCTTTCAGAGACCCTTATACTTAATTATATTTTATTGACCGCGTTGGTATAAAGACAAATGGGATGTAGACTAGACTGAGGTCATCTTTTTCTTCTAATTTTAAAGAAATTAAGACATTTTTAGGGGTCTTTTGCAGTCATCTGGGCCCCAGGCAGTGTGCCCACCACATCTGATCGATGAATCTGTCTGCTCCTCTGGGTTGTTCTGAATAACTAGCAGGTCTGAACTCACCACCACCACCCCAAGCCCATTTGGAAAGGAGGAAGGACATGACATTTTTGCCTACCACAAAGTTGTTTCAAATAGGAGGCAGGGGTGGATTCTGACTTACTTTACAGCTTCCTGGGGGACAGAATCGATTGGCCGTGGGGAGGGCCACCCCAAGGCAACATCCTTGGAGCTGGGCTCAGTAAGCCAGGCCGCCTGTTAGCAGCAATGGCTCATAGCAAGCCAGCCTATTTTGGCCCAAGGGTGCTCACAGGAGCCTTGTTGAAAAGAGGTTTAACTTTCGGGGAACAGTGCACACATTTCCTGGTAGGACTGAGTTGAAAACTGTAGGCGATAGTCTCACTGCGGTGTTTCCATGCTTTTCCAGAGCGATGTGGGGAGGAGGGTGTCCACAGAGCAAATTCTGAGGGCCCAGGAGAATTGGGACTTGTAAAGGGGAGCTTGACCTCTAACCTTTCGGCAGGCTTCCTCACCTTCTCTTCTGAGCGTAATCTCCTTGTGATTAGGCTGACAGTGCACATTTGCATTGCAATTTTACTCACGTGTATATTCTAACTGATCTCAAAAGAACTGGTATGTTAGAGAAATATCACTACTTATTGTATTGTATTGTAGTGTGTTGTATTCCTACTCCTATTTTGTAAGCTAGAGAGCTATTCATACAATGAGACATAGACCCTTATAAACTCTTCGTTTAAATAAGAAATCTAGTGGGACCGTGGATTCTGCTTTTTATCTCTTTCGTGTAGGGAACTGGGAGGTGCCAAAGATCACTGTTGGCTTAACAGAGAAGCACGCCAGGCTTTTTAGAACCTTCTAGAATGCAGAATGTCAATATAAATATCATGGCCAGGGCAACAAATAAAACAACCATTAGATTGCAGACCCTTTCACTAGACAGAAATAATCTGTGATTATTAAATTTTAAAAATTTTATCTGCAAAGACAACTTTATGCAGCAAAATAGTATCTGTTTTTCTCTAACTGAAAAGAAGGACTTTTTGTTACTGTTTTACCTTGCTGAGATCTTTCTCCTCAGCAGCAGTGAGGAGCTGTTAGAATCTCTCTGGTTAGCATTGAGGGAAAAAAAGCAAGTCTGAGTAACTCCACACTTATAATAAGGATCACAAAACAAAGAAAGAATTTTGATAAAAGGAATGCGAGCATATATATTTTGCATCTATAGAAACAGATCTTCAAAAAAATAAACAGATGAAGATCTCTAGTAAATTAGAATTTATCATAAAAATCCTTTAGGGTGGAAATCCATTACTCCTTAATAAATTCCTACATTAAATCAGCAGAAGAAAATAGAATATCTTTCTTCTAAGTATAAGACATTATTTTCTTTTCTTTTTACTCGGTTGCTTTTTGTTTGGTGTTTTGGTATTTCTGTTTTTACTTTAACTATTGAATTATTAGCTCTAGATTAGCCTATACTCCCGTATAGTAATATAATTTTTTAATATAAATTGATATTTTTAGTATATCCTGCATACATTTTCATGCTTAAATATTTCAAAATAAAATGCATCTTATTTTTAAAAAAATTTTATGTTTATTTTATTTTTGAGAGAGAGAGAAAGTACAGGGGAGGGGCAGAGAGAGAGGGAGACACAGGATCTGAAGCAGACTCCTTCCTTCCTTCCCTCCTTCCTTCTTTCCTTCCCCTTCCTTCCTTCCTTCCTTCCTTCCTTCCTTCCTTTCTTCCACCAAGGTGCTCTATGCATGTGCATTAACAGCTACACGGTGCTAACAGACTTACTGTCATGCAGCCTTCCTTCTCCAACTTCACCCACTACCTTGGTTCTATATCCACAAACTAGTAATCTGATTCTTCTGGGAGTTATCTCTAGTTTTCGTTTTGTTTCCTACTAAATAAATCTCACTAAGATTTCTTGCATAGGCTAGGGAAACAGATTTCCTAATTTCAAACACTGGTTCCCCAGAATTGTGTGATCTTGGGCACATTACTCAACTGCTATGTGCCTTAATTTCCTCACCTACAATATGGGTACTATAATAGAATATATTTGCCTGTAATACATCCATGAGTGTCTATATACATGTATACACACTATTATTTATATATACACATCTACACACACACACATAGATACACAGATGTGGCTGGAGGATCACCGTGGAGGTTAAAGATGCTGAAAGCATCATTTACTTAGTGCTGGACACCAGGAAGTCTATATAAACGTTAGTTCTATAATAACTATCGCCATCATTGTTGTCATCAAATATTTGCCTTTTGCTGAGGTGAGAGAACTGACCTAGAAAAACTTAAACACACTGAGAAGTGTGTTTAAATGTTTGACTTTCAAACATCAGCATCTGCATTAGGCCTGGCCTTTCTCCCAGGGTCGTGGCTGGGTTCCGGGAGACAGTCCCCTGAGGAAATAGAGCCCAAGTGCATGGCACTTCCCTCACCCTGGCTCGTGCCACACTCCATTGGTTAAGAAAGTCACAAAGGCCCACCTGGTTTTGAAGGGATGATACAGAGACTCCTCCTTCCGACATGGGAGTGTCAAGGTTCCAGAGGGCTCGAGGAACGGGAGAGATTTTGTAGACACCTTTAGAAAATACAATTGACCACTATGCCCTTCTTTGCCAGCACCTCAGTCCTACATTGGTTGGCATCCTCTTCCTCCAAACACATCATCTATGAAGTTTCTCTGGTCTCTAGTTTCTAAAAAGAACGTGCTGGGATTTTCCCATCAGCTCTTCCTATTCTTCCCGTTTTCTCTGTCCTTGCAGATTACATTTTAAGGCCTTTCACATGCTTGTGGAAGGAGAGGAAATGAGTTCATTTAATCAAATCATGTTGCACTTGAAGCCCCCACAGGTTTCCCTTCCACGTGAACTTGCCCCTCCTTTCATTCTGTCTGGGGCGAACCTCCTTCCTTTATGATCGACCTGCAGAAATCATCTTCCTGTTTCAAAGCCAGTCCTACATAAACTGATCTCTCAAAGCAGATGAAATGTCTGTCACCAATAGTGTTGTTAGACTCCTAGAGGTATCCCTCTTACTTGCCCTGATAGTGCAAAGTGTGTGGTTTCTCCATCCTGTCACTGATTGTAAATCCTGAGGGGTGAACTCTATCAACTTTTTCCCCTATTAGGCATTAAGGGAATGTTCTATGGTTAAAAATACCACTGTGCTGGCAGCAAAGAAATGTCCTTAGTGCAAGAAAGAGCACTCTGTAATCTCCAGATTACACCGTACTGGGCAACTCCCATGGAAATACTCTGGTCAGCTGTCCACAAAGCCATGGCCATCACATCCAGATGGCCCTCAAGTCAAGGGTTCCCTGAAGTTCTTCTGCCGTCAGCGGGACAGGGATACGTGTGCAAGGCTGAGACCCAAGGACCTCTGCCTTTCCCCCTCCAGAAGCCAGATGTTTCTGTTCACTGGGGTCTTCTGGCCCTTCTGGGAAGGAGAAAGTCCAGCTCTGATGTTCCAAGACCATTGACCTCTCTATCTGCCCAACCCAGAGGAATTATGACAACAGCAGTATACCGGCCCACTGTAACAGGATCAAGGCAACATGCTGACATAAATAAAGGTCAATCTCACAATATCCCGCTGCTCTGTCTCCCCAGGAGCTTCCATGACCGTGAGGCTGGTGAATGGCACAGGGAGGTGCTCGGGCCGAGTGGAGGTTCTCGTCCAGGGCACATGGGGGACCGTGTGTGATGACCTCTGGGACCTGGCTGAGGCCACAGTCGTGTGCCACCAGCTGCAGTGTGGCCAGGCCGTGGCGGCACCCACGGGGGCCCACTTCGGGGCAGGCTCTGGGAAGATTTTGCTGGACGACGTGCAGTGTGCGGGCAGCGAGAGTCACCTGGGGCAGTGCGTGCACAGGGGTGAGGCAGGGCACAACTGCGGGCACCTGGAGGATGCTGGTGTCATCTGCACAGGTGAGGGGCTGACTGTCAGTCCTCACTTGGAAGGCTACTGTTATCCCCTCACTACTCATTCTTCCACACACACAGCCAGCATGGTCCAGAAATGTCAGTGGATCAAGGCAGGCCACTGGTGTTGTCTACACCCTTTCAAAGTTATGCATTGACCTGACCATCCCCTTGGCTGCAGATTGCTGAGTACGGCTCATGATCATGGATCCAGGCTCAGATGTGACCTGTTTGGTTTGAAAATTCAGGCTGAACTCGAACTCAGCCAAAACACATTATCTGGCATAAAAATCCAAATTCTTCCCTTTGTGGAAAAAAAAAAAGTATAAACAGAAGTTAAGGCTCAAAACAACAAATTCTTTTATTACATTCACCAACTGGATCTGAGAAAGAGCTGACTCTTTGGTCACGAAACAGCTTTCCAGTTCACACAGTCCCCGTCACTCAAACCCCTTGACTTGTTTTATTCCCACGGCTCTTGGAAACTTTCGAGTTTGAGTTTGTGACCTCTGGTGATGGGCCAAATTTGTCAGCTGGTGTTCCAAGCCCTCCATGTCTAGGCCTGGTGACCTTCCCAAACCTATGTGTCTTTCCAGTTGGCACTCTGCCTCGCAGAATCTTACCTGATTCTGTCCCTCTGGCAGCTGGGATAACGTTCCTACGAATGACAAGCTCTGCCAGGATGCACCTGGCTCGTCCTGAGCCATACCCGTCAACATCTAAGGTCCCTAGGGGAGCACTGCCTTCTGAAGCTCCCCTGGGATGCTCAGCATTTGCTGACTGGTCTCATGGCTCAAATCCCCAGGACATGCTAAGATCCTCAAGGGCATGGTCTTTGCTTCTGTCTGCCTCCAAGCTCCCTAAAACTAGAATGTTACCAGTAAATAATCACTAAATAAGACACGATAACATGCTCAGTCTCTTTCCATGTTGACAGGTGTTCAGTCTGCAGCTGCTTTGCCCCCAGGTAGGACCCGTCTTACATTTGGCCTCATCTACTAGACCTGGTGTGAGGTTTAGAGTCAGATCCTGGTTTGGTTCCCAGCTTCATTATTCACCCATCTGTCCGTTCATGGATATTGACTGAGTGTCCACCATATGCTGAACTGTGTGCCAGTAAACACTGGAGCCACAGCAGAGGTCAAACCCCTCCCCCCAGTGCTCTTCCTTCATGGGGTCTGCACCCTAATGGGAGGGCAGACATGGCATATGCTCACCCTCAGTTATACGACCTCAGCCAAGTGATATCATCTCTTGATCCCGTTTCATCTTCATTTCTCTTCATAGGAGTCAGAATAACATAGAGAATTGAATAATTGAGAATTGCATGTGACAATGCCCAAAATGCCTGGCACCAGACAAGCACTGGTGCCAGGCACTCACACAATCTTTTCTTTTGGTTAGATGCCAGCTAAGGGCACAATCTTTTCTTTTGGTCAAATGCCAACTAAGGGAGGCTGTGTGTGTGGGGTGGGGGCCAAAGGGCCTGAGGTGAAGGAATCTGATCCTGGCTGGTGTCTCTCCAGGTGAATGACGTTGGCCCTCACTCTCCATGTCATTAGAACAGGCACATTGGAGTCCAGGCTCCATAAAATTCTATACCTTTGACATTCTGTGACTAACAAGGAGAGGATCAGCAGCCACGTGGATTGGCTGAATGAAGTGTGTGGCACTGTGGCAAGTGAGAGGTGGTCATTGAAGGACAGAGATGTAGGTCTTGTACTAGAAATTGGGGGACCCTTTCCCATCTGACATTTTATTGTGATGATTTTCAAATAGGCAGCAGAATTTGAAGGATTTGAAAATGAGCTCCTACCTACCTAGATCACATGATAAATTTATCAATATGTCTATCATCCCTTTATTCATCCATCAACCCATCATATTTTTAATTAATATTTGATTTGTGTACCATAAAACTCACCCATTTTCAGGTCCAGTTGGATGGATTTGGGTGATTGTGTGCAGCTGTATAATCACCACTACAGTCAAGATGTAAAATAGTTTCTTTGTCCTCAAAGATTTCTGGTGCATTTCAGAGTTGATGCCCTCCTCCCTCTCCTGCACTCCACTTCCAGGAACTGCTTTGTGAATCTCCTTGCTTTGTTCAGGTGAAGTCATGACACACATGGAGAGAAGGCAGCAAAGAAAGAGATGGCCAACTGATGGTCTCTCCTACGGCAGGTCACACGGGGCAAATTGTCCACGAGTTTTGCTTTTCTGATGGCCATGTAGTGCATGTTCATTCGTCAACAGGCAATAATACCATTCTCTGTCCTAAATGAAGATCTTGTGGCTGTGAGGTCACTGGACTTAGAATACAGTGTCATGGTTATTCTTGGTGAATCCTGGGAGAAGGCAGATGATGCCTTGAAGCAACTGTATCTTCTCCCAATGTTTTGACTGCTCCCAGATGACCATCCTTCTCTTTTACCCACCAATAGCCTATGAGAACCTACTTCCCACATCAGTGACTCAACACCCACCTTCTTCTGCACCTCCAGGTAAGACTGTTTCTCTTTATAATATGTCCTCTGAACAACTTTGTTCATTCAACAATGAATGGGTGAATGAATATATGTCACTAAGGATTCATAATGTCACTGGGGTTATAGATAGCAATAAACAGAGCTGATCCTCAAGTAAGTTAAGTCCATGGGAGGAGGGGGGAAGAAAATGTTACCAAAAAGTGTGGTGAATACTCTAACGGGGAAGCACAGAATGCCATGGGCTCCCAGAAGAGGGTCTCCATCCAGATCCAAGGGTTTTTGGCAGGACTTGAAGGATGAGGGGGCAATGGGATTATGTCAAGCAGGGAAGAAACCAGATAGACTCCCTATGAGCTGCAGGGTTGGAGACATTAACATGTGTTCCAAATTAGAACTTAGGGCTGGCCGATAACCATACAGAATTAGTGAACAGTGAGTTGGCTCTTTGAGATGGTTTTCTGCTGTGATCAGGGATGAGCAATATTTTAGGATATTCAGCCCTGAGTTAGCTTTTTTTTTTTTTCTTTTACAAATTAGGTCTAGTCTGAGGTCAGATAAGGTAGGAGTAAAACATTGGACTCCTGAGTCTCTTAATCTAGCTGTACAGTCAAAAGATTAAAAAAGGGGGGCACCTGGGTGGCTCAGTCGGTTAAGCATCTGACTTCTGCTCGTGTCATGATCTCGCGGTTCATGAGTTCAAGCTGTGCTGACAGCTCAGACTGGAGCCTGCTTCAGATTCTGTGTCTTCTTCTCTCTCTGCTCCTTGCCTGTTCGTACTCTGTCTCTGTCTCTCAAAAATAAATAAACATTTAAAAAAAGAAGAAAAAAAAAAGATTCAGGAAGGAGAGAGAAGAGCCATTATCACTCTTCAGGGTTTGAGCATCCCTGGTAGAATAGTGCCCAGCAGGTGCCATAGCTCCTGGCTGTTGGCCATGGCTTTGAGGGCGTGGTGATTACCAAAGGCGCCATTGTTGGCTCTGTGAGTTCAATCACATGAATTCACACTCCACATCTTTCTTTTTTGTGTTTTTTATAAATTTACATTTTTTATATATCTGCCCAAACTTTCTTCTTTACATCCATTTTTTTTATTGAGGTATAATTAACATATCACATTGTATTAGTTTCAGGTCTACGACATAATGATTCCATATTTGTATATGTTGCAAAATGGTCACCACAAAAAGTAACTTATCTTAACAGATAAGCAAGTGTGTAAATTATCTATTGCCATGTAAAACCATCCCAAAACACAATGGTTTAAAATGACGATCATTTATCATTGCTCATGAGTCTAAGGGTCACCTGGGCAGCTCTGCCAATCTAAGATAGGCTTGGCTGGTCTTGGCTGACTCGGCTGGGCTTGCTCATGCATCTGTGACTATCCAGCAAGTCAGGTGAAGACTTCCTGGCCTAGGATGGCCTCCCTCACATGTCTTATAGTTCCATAGCTGTTATCGGAGGTAATGGAGGCAATGAGGTCGTGTGTCTTTCGTCACCCACAGCCTAGCTCAAGCTTATTCACATGATTACCTCAGTGTTCCCAGGGAGTACACTGAAGCCTGTCATGCCTCTTGAGGCCTCAGTTTCACATGAGTGCACCATTACTTCTGCCATATTCTACTGGCCAATGCAAGTCCCAGGCCACCAGCTTAGAACCTCTTGGGCAGAGCTGCAATGTCACATTGTAAAGAGTGGGGAGATCGGGAAGAGAAGAACTGTGGTCATTTTGGTAAATACTCTACCACAGGCAAGCGGCCTTAAATAGAGTGTGGATAAGGGAGACATTATAGGCTTCTCAAACCAGACACACATGGAGAATGGCATGGGATCTCACACAACAGCGTGAAGAATGTGAATAACAAAGTCATAGAAAGTAAGAAAAGTTAGGTTGGGTATCAGATAGTCTAGTCATCAAAAGGCAGAGCGAGTGGCCATCACCCCTTGACCCCTTGTTCTTCCCCAGGAGGCTGGGCCCCCGTGCGACTGGTAGGTGGCCACGGAAGGTGTGCAGGCCGCGTGGAACTCTTCTACTGGGGAGTCTGGGGGACCGTGTGTGATGACCTCTGGGATCTGTCAGAAGCAAACATCATCTGCAGGCAGCTGGGGTGTGGCTGGGCCATTTCAGCCCCAGGTGAGGCCCACTTTGGGGAAGGATCTGGGAAAATCCTCCTTGACAATGTGCGCTGCAGGGGGGATGAACAGCACCTGGAGGAGTGCTCCCACATCGGCTGGCTTTCCCACAACTGTGGGCACGGAGAAGATGCCGGCGTGATCTGTTCAGGTAAACCCCTGCTCCCCTCCCTGGCAGAGCCCAGCCTTGGCTCTTTCCAAGACAGTACTTTTCAAAAAACAACGTAAATGTAGCTATTGAGAAAGAACCAATACGTTATTTGCTTACAGCAGATATCTTAACCCTTCACACTTACAGATGCTGAATATTCTATGGCCACACCACCAGGTAAGGAAGGCGATATTTACATGTGCAGTTTACCCAAACTTTGGGGAAGAGGTTCTGCTGGAAGTTGGATATGTCATTCTCTAGGCCAGTGGAGTGACTGGGACACACGGAGTCACCTGACTGTCTGGTGGGAGAAATGGATAGTACCTTAGAAATCATCTGATCCAGCCTCGCTTTCTACTTCTTCCCCATTTTACACAGAGGCAGCAGATTTTAAATTTCCCAGACCTCTGCATAGCACTTTCAGGTTGTCAGCTCTGGGGGTTGCAAGGTAATGGCAATGAGATATGGGTGGCTAGGGTAGGGGGTGGTGAAAACATAAGAGGTGGGGAAGGACACTTCCTGCCCAGGGGCAGATGGCTGGT